AGGGCTACCAGGTCTGGGCTGCAAAAGTCCAGACAACTAGGACATTGCAGGAGAGAGTTGGAGTTTTCTGCTGACTAGTGGCCATCCAGATTTTTAAAGCCAGGATGTGGTAGACATACCAATGGCCTCAAGGACTTCAGTGCAGATGGTCTACCTTCTACTCAGTGAGGGCCAAGACTTATTGGACCTTGCAGAAAAGGCCAGTTTCTTGCCAGATCCTCTTCTGTGCAAGGTTCGTAAGGCATAAGAGTCCTGGACTCTTCTGGAGCCTGAGAGCTGTACCAAAGACCTAATGTATGCTGCTGGTCAACCCATTGGTTACATGCAGCTCCTCAAGACTTTTCTCCCTTGGGCCCTTTTGACAAAGCTCATTGTCACAATTTTTGGCAGATCTTCTCTGTCCCCCATACTTGTGGATTGTTCCAGTTACCACTCCCCTCTTCCTGGTTTTGCCAAAACTGCCCCTGCTCTTTCCTTGCCTCATGCTGCCCCGTCTTTCTTCCAGTCACTGCTGCTTCTGTGCTGCTGCTGCTGCTGCTACAAGTGAGAGCATCCACCAGCACCTTTACAGTGAAGGTGTGATAGAAGCTGCTGCAGATACTGTTGCTGACTTGAAAAGTTGCAGGTTCAAATTCTGGCATGTGGGAAATCAAGAAAAATGTATGCGGGGAGATTGTATGACTTAAGAGAATAGTAATTCACACCTGCTTTTTGCTCCAGACACAACCACTTCCCACCTTGGTTCTATTCATTTTCTCCTTGCCCCTACTTATTCTTCACATAGGACACTGACCCATTCTACAAGACTGAATATATTCCTCCACCTAGTGAGCATGCTCGTTTGATTTTGTACAGTTTGCTCTATTTAATTACTCTGTGGTAGCTTGTCTGGCTTTCTTTGAAAAATCAAGCCATTTGTTCTTTAGGTTAAAGACACACTCAGGAATGGAGTTATTCTATTGCCTGTTACTAACACTTCACAAGGAACATCATTTAGGTTTCATTCAAATGATCCACTGCACCATAATAATTTCAGTTTTATTTACTGGTGGTCCATCCAGTGTTTCCTCCAGGAACTTAAGGTAGTTTACATGAGGAGATCCCATTTTATCCCTATAACAAATTTGTTGGACTGAGAGAAAGTCACTTGCCCAAAGTCACCCAATGAGTTTTTAATGTCTGAGAACAGACTTGAAATCAGTCCTAGTTCTAATTCAACACTGTAACACTGGCTCTTGCTCTCATTCTTGGTCATATCCTCTTTAATGCTTCCTTCATAATACATACAAATTAAGAAATTTTCAAAACTTGTTAAACCATGATTTTTCTGTTTCACCCAATCAAGAAATGATCATGATGAGCCTTCAAACAAATAATAAATCATAATTTGAAATTATTGAATATCCTCACTAGTTTCAAAGCAGCAGCTATGCTTTTCTAGATCAGATTAAATAGGAAGGTATGGTTCATTAGAAAGCTTTCTGAATCTTATTAGGGGCCTACATTAATAAGGAAAAGCACTTGTTTATGTTTCAGTTTATAAAGCTACGACAGGGTTGCCTGAATCAGCTGAATGTAACCTGAATGCATATTTAATGTGTTCTTACATCATAGAAGCAGTATGTACTCATGCTCATATCCCTTGGGAGAGTTTGCTAGAGACTCTGGCAAGGGAATTCTTCCCCAGAATGTTAATTGAGCAACTGAGTCCCCAGGATGGTGCCCAGGAATCAGCAAGCTTGCTAACATGTTTCTTTTAAATGATCCTTTTAGTAGAGAATGAATGGGAAGCAAGTGTTCTGCCAAGAAAACTACTAGTTTCTAACTTAATCTGCATTTCTAACAAGGCCTCAGAATGTCCTGCCCTTCTCAACTAGAGTTATTTATTCAGTGATTACAAGAGCCATGGTCTCCAGCCATAATGGTTCTCTGTGCCACTGGATTGAGGTCTCTTATGCTGAGAGAGTGGGATTGCCTCTGTGCAACGGCTGTTCCACTTAAAACTCCATCACGCACAGGTTTCTGTTGTGCAATTCATCTTCATCTACAACATCTACAAATCATCTCAGTCCAAACCTAATTTGTTGAGCCCTGCGGCGATGGGGGAGTGGCGAAGCAACAGGTGGAGATGACCACTGGCAGTTGTAGTCACAAACCTGCATGTGGGCAGCCCTTGGGCCAGTGGTCGTTCATCTCAGTACCCAAAGCAGGGATGTCCAGCAGCATCCAGAGTGACTGGGCAGCCCTTCTAGGATAGCACTGCCCAACCTCACATGAGGGAGGGGATTATAAAAGGTACCCTAAACATTGCCTGCCCCACAACATCTGGCTAGCTAAGCTAGCTGACAGATCATCTCCTTAGCAGTTGAGCATCAAGAAATATGAATCAAAGAAAACTCATTTTTGGAGCCTGGAATGTCCACACTTTGCTGGGCAGAGACAAGGTGTCATTTTCCCTTTTGGAAAGGGAAACCACAGACTGACAACAGGACTCACGGAGTAGGTTTTGCAATCAAAACTGCTCTGCTGAAGAACATCTCTCCTCTACCCATTGGAATAAATGAACACATTAATCTCAAGCAATCGGTCTCTGGACAAAGAAATTGACTCCAGGATCAGCAAGGCCGGCCAGGCACTGGGGTGGCTGCATACTAGAGTGCTCAATCAACACAACATCTGTATCTCCACAAAGCTGAAAATCTACAGAGCTGTGGTTATCCCTTTTTTCCTATATGGATGTGAGTTCTGGACTCTGTACCAAAGGCACATCAAACAACTGGAGAAATTTCACATGTGCACTCTCCACTCTATCCTTGGGATTTATTGGCAAGACTGTGTCTCCAACCTGGAGGTCTTGAATCATGCCGAGTCTACCAGCATTGATTATCAGAGCCCAGATGCGGTGGGTGGGACACATCAGAACGGATGACCACCATATGCTTCACCAGTTGCTCTATAGCATGCTGGAGTCTGGGAAGAGACCTTGAGGTCAACCACGCAAGTGCTACAAACATGCTGTGAAAGAAACCTTATGCCACTAGGACATCCAGCCAAGGGAATTAGAAGCTGTGGCTGTTGACAGAACCTGCTGGCAAGCCCTGTGCTATGAAGCCTCCACTGGCTTTGAAGACAGGTGCTACCAAAAACTGATAGAAAACCGTGAGTGGTGTCACAGAATAGCACCCACAGTTACAACAATGGACTTCCAGTGCCCCCATTGTGCTAAACTTTGCGCTTCCAGACTGGGACTGCAGAGCCACCTCCACGTCCACAGATGAACTGCACAACAGCGTGTCTTCTTCAAACCCGAAGGACTACCATATATACAAGGGCCCGTAAATCCAACCATGAAGGGATAATCATAAATACAGCCTGAGCTTAAAGAGGAGCAGAGTTCCTACTAGTATCTGAAGTCAAGCTTCACAGCAACAGCTAAAATATGGTTTTAAGCAGATTACAGTGCCTACCTTGAGATCTCAAAAACAAAGAATTTAAAAAGTCTCTGACCTCTTCAGGACTGATGCTTTCCTCTACAGAAGACGTATTAAAAATAGGGTCAAAAATGTGATGCTTTAAGTGCACCTAAATGACTCAGATATTGCTGTGCTACAAAGCCTATCATTCCTAGTCAGCCCATGGGACTGGGATCAGCATTATCTGGGGCCCATATGAGCAGTTCGGTTTCCAGAGCTACAATATCCATATGAAAATTAACTATTTTTTAAAGAACATGCTGACATGGCATCAAGTCCCCTTTTGTGGGCAAAATGATTTCTTGTATGTGGAGTAAGATTATAGAACTTTTATTTTTATGATCACATAAGGTGTCATTCCATATTTTTAAGTATGCACCTAAATCTACAATGCAGGAATAAGACAAGGATGCTTTGGAATCAGATACACCAGGCAGGAATTTAACCTAAACCACCTAAGTTTATTTTTCAGAAAAGCTCCCTCTCAAGTATTCTGTATGCTTTGTTTGGTTACTAGGTGCACCTAGGATCTAATATTGTGTTAAATGTGTAAAGATCTGCAGAGACTCAATTCAAAAATTATGCTGAAAGAATTGGCAACTGGAAAGTTGGCAGCCATTCATTTGAATGGATTTGACACATTCTCTCTGCCTTTCACAAGCAAAGAGTGTTCAGCATTGCAACAATAAATAGTCACAGTAACACTGAGACGGTCACACCCTCTGGTGAGTCTCCTAGCTTCTTCTAGAAAGAATGCATTGTTGAGATGGGTGTGGGGAGGCTAAATAAATATCTCCCATGCACGTACTCCTAAAAACAACTACTGTTGATACATTACAGTGGAGAGGGTTGATCCCATTTCCTTACCAGCCACATGGAACAAGCTCCACTGAGCTGTTACTGAGCTGTTATGAGAGTAGGCAGCATGCACATGCTCTAAATACAGTTTAAAAAATAAACCAGGGCATTCTATGAAGGTGTAAGTAACAAAAGTAATCAAGCCACTCTTAAGATATAGTACCATTCAGCTCTCTGTCAGACTTATCACTGGAATCTTTGACCTTTGCTTTCTATGTGCAGCACAGACCCACATTATCTTCTCCTGTGTCTGAACTCGTAAGTGAAGAGAGCCCTGTCTGCTGGGTGTGTTGCTGGCGGAAGAGAAACTGGCCCTCACAGTCCATCTCACAAGTCTTCAGGAAGCATAAGGGAGGACATCTTCAGTCCCCAGTTGAGCATGTGCAATGCTATAGCCATAGTTGTCAGGTAGGAGTCACATATGCCATGTGCAAATGATGCTAATTACGCAATATGCATTAACTGCATCTTTTGCATGGTGACAGTATCACAAATGCTCTCTCTCTCTCTCTCTCTCTCTCACACACACACACACACACACACACACACACACATGGTGTAGATGCCCATTCCTGATGAACAAGTTACAGTTGAAAGCATGGGAAGCATTTTGTTCTTCTGGTCAAAATGATCATAAAACAGACCACACTGTAAGAGAGCAACTTGGCATTGTTTCAACAAATTTTATACAACAAAATTTGAAAAGTCTCCTGCACTGGTAAATTCAGGATGCGGAGATAAGGAATTTTAAAAGTATCTCCAACAATACAATATTTCAGTTAAAAAAAAAACAGTAACCATACATGCATGAAGAGGATTATACTGAAAAATTACAACCTAGCAAAATATTATTCAAGAGCAGTTTATACAGAATCTGCATATTCAGAAAATCTGCATAAATGTCTGCAGATCAGAGGCAGTTTTGTATGAAGCACTCACTATACTAAGTTTAGCAAAAAGAAAACGAACACAAGGTTTCAGCAAGAATTCCCGAATCCCATCTTCTTTGGTTATTAATTTTCCATAATATAAAAACAAGACACTGATGTGGACGATTGCCCCCAAACTGACCTAGCACAATGCGTGCAGTGGCTATCAGTATCAGGTTTGATACTAAAATTATTTACTAGGTTGCAGCTTGGATTTCATTAGGTTTACAGATGAGTCTTGATTTTAAGAGGAACAATAAGCAGGGGTATAATGGCAGATAATATGGGGATCACCACTTTATTCTGGACACTCATTGTAAATATAAAACACTCTTCCATGGGAGATGCAACACAGTTCTTGGTACTGACTGAATGAGGAGGACATGTCTGTCCTGCTTTTCCATACAGGTCTTTAAGACCTGTCCAGCTTTTCAGTCTTTCAGTGAATTATAGGCTTTTAATGTTCGATTGTTGATGAAATCCGTTTTCTTATAATTAGCCTTTAAAGTAAAAATAAAAATAAAAGGAATTAAATTCTAGTTAACAACAATTCTAAAAACACAATGATAAGTTATCAAACATATATTAGAGATGAGATACACATCTTACTGAAGCTACTTTGGGAGTCTAGAAAAGATATACATTCAGTTTTTCTAAGATTGGTTTAAGATTGGTTTAAATTAGTGTAGATCTGAAAGATACTTAAATTAGGCTATGTCCCAGGAGGGTGTAGACCAACTTTTCCAATATATTGGCCTCTATTTGTTGGTCATGCTGCCTCGGAATTTGAGAGTTGTAGTCCAACACCGTTGGGGGGTACCAGATTGGAGAAAACTAGTCTAGACTGTTGTAGGGAACAGTTACAAACCATATATACATAACTAACAAGATATTATTTTCTCATATTAATTACAGTCTGGAATATATTATATTATATTGTATTATATTAATTATATTATTATTATATTAATGTATGCCAGGATTGTGACTGGGTAGAGAGCAATACATTGCGATCCCTATGAAAACGACCTGTGTGCTCAGTATTACATTGAAAAACAAAAGTTAACATAACAGTTAACTATGCAATTAAATTGATATGTAAAATTTACATTATATCAGCAAACACTGATTGATGGTGTATATTTACATATACATAAAACTTCCATTAATTTAAATGGACCTGCTGCCTCTGGCAGTAAAATACTGAACGTTACCATTTAAAGCCTGAACCTGCAACTTCTATTGGGCCAAATGCCAGGCTCAGCTTTTGACTGGTATGCTGGAGGCTATGTTCTAAAACATGGCCGGGGCAAGTCAACATTTCATTTCCATTCAAATTTAACTGAAATTAAATATCTTTGATAGGATTACCTCCCAGTTGCATATTTAGTGGTTTTCCCCTTTGCTCACACTACCAGTGACAATCTGATCATTCCTTTGCCTGGGCTGGCCTTAAGACTTTTTCAGCTAAGTGCGGCCCTGGGAATTCAATTTGTGCTCCTCTAATTTAAAGGCAGGGCATTTGAGAAGCCTAACTTGGAAAGGAGTATTTTCTCGCTCACTGGTCAGCCTGAAATGTTTCAACAACTCAGAAGTCTTTGGGGGTTTGTTAGTTGTGTTATCTCTAGGAAACCATCCCATTGTTGGAGAAAATTAAAAAGTGTTAAGGGGGAAAACAGGTGTTACCTGTCTGAAAGAATGCAGAAGCAGAAAGTGACAGTAAATGCCACTTTCCAGTCTAAAAAGAATGTTTTTGCATATTCTATTCACAAAGGCACTTTCTGTGCTAGGGTATAGTACTATGGCAAACATAACAAAAGGACCTGAAACCCATTTCCATCTTAATTAACAATTCCAAATCTCTGATAGGGTAAATTAGGGTTGAGTCTTAAATATTTATAATACCAAAAATGCATTAGGGTATGACATTCATTTAAAAAAAACAAGAAAAACTAATACCAAAGTGGAAAAACAAAATGTTGCATGGGTCAAGGCTTTACATTGAAAAGGCTTTGGCTCTGTTGATCGGAATGTGCATTTTTAGCAAAGATCCGGAAAAATAACCCCAGGTTTGTAAAGCATTTTCAAAAGATTCCTATCTATTCCGCTAGCTTACCTTTTTGTAAGCACTGTGGAGATCGGCATGAGACCACAAGGAATATAAGAGGATTGAGGCAGCTCTACCACTTTTGCTGAGAACACAGTAATAAAAATGACTTTTAAAGCAGTGCAGCATGAAGTTAAAAAGAACAAAACGTGCTACAGAGTTTCAGTTTGAAACAAACCTATTAAGGAAAGATAAAAGATCCTACTGAAGGGAATAGGAAAAGGAGAAGCAGAAGAGATCACAGGCCTTAAAAACAGGTATTTTCAGACTCCATTTAAACATTTTTTTTTAAATCAAGAACAGAAAAATTCTATCCTGAATGTATCTTTTGCTGCAAAGTTACATATTACAGATATTCATTTTATGAATGGATACCCACCTGTCACTTGTGCTGATATTCATAACCTTTGAAACGCCATCATGATTCAAGAGAAGCCGAGCATTCTGGGAATTGTTTTGAGTCAGGTTGTACAAAGCATAGCAAGCAGAAGCAGTGGTCTCATTGGCTACATCGGATGTTGGGGCATAATCTGGAAGTATGGCAATCAAATCCGGCAATATTTCTCTGGCTGAAAAATAACCAAGGTGTGCCCTTATTCTAAAGTTTAAACATACCCATCACATGTTCTGTAAAATATGCTTGTATCTAACTAACTAGTTAGTTGTAGTGAAAATGTTCCATTTTTTTCCTGCAAATTTACTCTATGAAAAGGTTAGGGTTTATGCTACCACTATTTCCATTGCAGTAGATCCAGAACTTGCCTTTCTCAAGCACTTGGGTTGGAAGAAAGGACTCCTGAAGTCCAGCCAATGTAGTTAATGAATTTAAAGATACTTCTGCAATAACCTTTCAATGTAAATTTACTTCTCTTGATGATGGTTCAAGAAATGAAAGTAAAATGTCTATGGTCCCTATTAGATTCCCAGAACTTGTATCAACCAAGGCTATTGGAATCTTGCCTGGTGAAGTTGCAGATGGCTCCCATCTCCACTTCTGCAGGATCAGGTAAGGAGTTCTTGGCTTCACTGACTTCTTCCCCACCCCATACCACCCTCGGTAGTTTTTCTGCCACACTCTTTTGCCCTAAGAGGGAAGATGCAGCTGCCTGAAATTGAGCTTTCCTATCAGATTATAGTGTTGAGTTTATTATTCCGTGAATACAGAAGAAAGTGAGTTACTTGTATTTGGGTCCTTCTGCTGATGTTCAAATCCTATGTGTAGGGAGAGATTAAGATCATGTTCATACATTATGCATGTCACCGTACTCTAACATGTTTGTTAGGCTTAATGTGGATGCAGAAGTCTAATATTCAGAAATCAAAGCCTGTGACCCCTGATCTATGCAATTTGAATATTTTAAAATCATGATGTACGGATAACCTATGCACAAGGCACATACTTCTAGACTACTATATGCATCCATCTGATTAGTGTGATCTGTGTACCTGAATTTTATGCAGAGTGTGCGGATACATTCTGTACATAGTAAGCTGCACATTACCACCTGTAATACGGTTAAACCGCTATGAACCCTAAACAGTGATAAGACAGGTAAGCAGTGGGTAAGAGCATTTGCCAATCTTCCATAATATGAAGCCCTCCAATTTTGTTGGGATTGCAAAATCTCAAAATTTCAAATGGCTGCAAACATTCTGGTATTTGGAACCTCAACACATTTGAAGAGCCAGAGTTTGGCAAAGACTAGTGGAGGCCATACTAGTCCAATTCTGATTCCCAAGCAATTGGAATAGTGTCCTGTGGCTAGCAATAGCCATGGGAAACTACATATCGACCCTAGTAGGTTTGTATCACCTCAAAAAGATCAAATTGGACACAATTCATACTCAGCCTTGATAGCTTGTTGAAGAAATAGCGGTACTCTTCTTGCTGAAGGTCTAGTTCAACATTGTAACATCCTGTCATACAGTTAATACCCATGCAAATAATGTTTATTAGAAATGTATATTTACCTATTTCATTTTGCAGCAAGGTGTCACGAGACAAGTTCCTGACTAAGGAGACAGCTGTTTTCCTAACGTTTAAGTTGCTCACATGTAGCATGTTTCGAATATTTGGGAGGCCATTGGCCTTCTTGATAATGATGTCAGCCACCCCAAATGGCATCTGTCAGGAAGCACACAGCTTTCAGGCTTAGGAAATTCACCATTCCATATCATAGACATCATATACTGTACAGTGCATATTTTTCTTCCAGAGAGAGGATTATCATTACTGTCAATCCTTGAGCAAAGGCATTCCAAGTATTAAGAAAATGTTCCCATTTCCCAGGAAGATCAGAATTCTGTGGCAGGAGATACTGATGGTTTCCTTGGAAGGGAAGGGATGCTAGGAGAATACATCTAGAAATGCCCTTGAAGACTTTAACCCAGACTTGGAGCTGCACAAGAGCTCCTTTAAGTGTTTTCTTTTAAAAAGAGAAATGATATGCCAAACAAAAAAGAATCAAAGCACTCACCCAACAACACCCCAATTATACAAAACCCTTTTCCAAGAGGATGGTGCTTTGTCAATTTATGCTTTTTCAAAAATGTTGCTGGCATCAGAAGAAATGTCTCACTGACGAAGCAGCACAAGTGTCTGCTACTGAAAACTACAGAAGGGCATAGTCAAAATACCAAGGTATAATGAAAGATGAGTAGGTGATACCCAACATAGTATAGCAGATTTTGGTGCTGGTGGACCTCCCTAAGTTGTCCCATTAATTTCACTTAGTTCCAGTCTGTTCAGTTATTCTTAATCTCCTTGTCTTCCTATCGCAAGACTAGCCTGTTGGGTCATGTTGCTTCTTTTCACTATGCTAACTATTCTCATCTCCCATGGGGCCATCTACAGTTCCATGTTTCCCAATGGCAACGGGTTCTGTCTTTTCCTTTTCTGTCCTCCTTGTCTAGGAGCACCTCAAAACAAAATAAAGGGGCTATTTTGTTGCAAAGAATGGGCATCAATGATCCGTAGACTTTCTTAACAATTAAAAGATGGCTGGTGTGGGTCTTCCGGGCTGTGTGGCCGTGGTCTTGAACTTTTGTTTCCTAATGTTTCGCCAGCACCTGTGACCGGCATCTTCAGAGTGCAGGAGCACAG